AAATCTTGAATATTCTAAATTGTTTTGTGAAAAGTTCTGTTTTCCAGCATCAGAATGGTATTGTGAAAAAATCCGAGAATTAAGATGTGGTCTGGTCTATGGTACATGATCTTAGGCAAGTCATCTAACCTCTTTGAGCATCAGCCATACTGTATGTACCATGTGTAGTTTCCCAAACTTGACAGTTTCTTTTCTGTTGATCAGGCCAAGGAGGTTTGCTTCTATTCTCAGTTAATTAAAAGTAATTACCAGGAACTTTTGTTAATATTATCATGTTTTTTCCTGCATCTATATAGATTTTCATCTTTAATCTGTCAACATGGTGATTTATATCAACAGATTGTTTAAAAATGTTGAATCAACCCTGCTTTCCTGGAATAAATCCGATTTAGCCATGATATATGATCTTTTTTTAAAAAATAGTGTTGGATTCAGCAAATACTCTATTTTAAATTTTTATATCTATAGCCATAAATGAAATTGGCTTACAATTTTCCTTTGTATGTTAACTTTGGTTTTGGCATCAATGTTAACTTAGGTCCTAGACCCTTGAAAATAGTTCGGGTGTGTTCCTTTTTTTCTATTTCCTGAAAAAGTCTCAATGAGATAAACTGTTTTTGAATTTACCTATAAAATTATCTGCGCTTGTGTTTTCTTTGTAGGAAGTTTTTTTTTTTTTTAAACTACTCATTGAATTTCTTTAATAGTAATTAAATTATTGAGTTATTCTATTTCTTTATTTTTTTAAGATTTTATTTATTTGACACAGAGAGGGAGAGCACAAGCAGGGGGAGTGGCAGGCAGACAGAGAGGGAGAAGCAAGCTCCCCGCCGAGCAGGGAGCCCGACGTGGAGCTCGATCCCAGGACCCCGGGATCATGACCTGAGCCGACGGCAGATGCTTAACCGACTGAGCCACCCAGGCACCCCGAGTTATTCTATTTCCTGAGTGAGTTTTGATAATGCATATTTTTAGAGAAATTTGCCTTTTGGGCTTGCTTTTTTTTCAAATTAATTGGTGTAAAGTTGTTAATAATATATAATTTTAGCTTTGAGATATCTGCTGCAGCTGTAGCATGTCCACCTTTTCCTTATAAATAACATTTATTTATGTTTTTTCCTCTTATTCTTGCAGAGGCTTGCTCAATTTATTAATCCTTTCAAAGAACCAATAGGTGGCTTTGTTTGATATTTTATTTTGCTTTATATTTCATTAACTTTTGCTCTTTTTTTCCTTTTTATTTCTTTCCTTTCTTTGGGTTGATTCTGCTCTTGTTTTTATAAATCCATAATTAGGATGCTTAGTTCATTAATTTTAGCCTTTCTACTTTTCCCTATAGCATTTTAAAGCTGCTTTCCTAGAACTACAGGTTTTAATGTGCAGTAGCTTTATTATTTTTTATTTCTAATATTTTCTAATTTCCATTAAGATTTCTTCGTTGACCATGGGTTATTTAGAAGTTTATGTGTGCTTGTGTGTGTGTGTGTGTGTATGCACGTACATCCATGTGCTTATGTGCATGCAGGTATACGTATGTGTGTGTTCTCCAAATGCAGATGCCTTTTAAATTATCCTTTTCTTAATAATTTCCAGCTTATACTGTGGTCAGACAATTCTAGACACTTACTCTGTGGCCTAGTGCCTGATAAATGTTGTACATGTGTATTTTCCAGTGGTAAGGTGCAGCCCCTTCTTTCTCAGCTTCTGGTAACTCACCCCATCTTTCTCATTTGCTTAAGTGCTCCTCAGCTCACTTTCCCCAACCTCCTCAACCTGATTAATGCCGCTCCTAAATGTTCTCATACCCCTCTTGATGTAGCCCTATTATAGAATTTATCACAGTGTATTATGTTTTTTAACTGGCCTGTTTCCCTTACAAAAGTGAGACTGAGACTCTTCGAGGAAAAGGACTTGTTGTCTTTAAGACCTAGAATTTAAGTGACAGATCTATAATGTTCCAGCCACACTGTACAGTAACTTCTATTTACCCTTCCAAATCTAGTTGAAAGACCCTACTCTTGACAATGGTGATGTGAGAAGGCTGGGCTATTCTGCCCCACAGAAACCATATATAAACTGGCAAATTGTTAAAATGACCATTTCAGGGTAAGCAACAACCATCCCAAAGGCAAGCAACAACCTGGGAAATGTTTATTCATGAAAACCTGCTAGTGAATTGGATGAGAATGGTGAATTTATAGTGAACAAGCACATGGAAAGATGGTCAGCATCATTAGTCACTAGGAAAATACTAATTAGAACCACAGTGAAATTAAAATACACCTGCTAGAATGGCTGCATTTAAAAGACTGATAATATCAAGTACAGACAAGGGTATGCAGCATCTGGAATTCTCATACATTGCTGGTGGAAATGCAAAATAAAATCGTTACTTTGGAAAACAATTTGTAGGATTGTTTTTAAAGTTAAATACACAGGAAAAAAAAAGTTAAATACACAGTTAACAATTCTCCTTCTAGGTATCTACCCAAAAGAAATGAATTTCCCCCCCAAATTTGTTCATGAATGTCTGTAACAACACTATTCATTATGACCAACAAAATGTAGTAGTTGCCCCCTTATCCACGGGGATATGTTCCAAGACCCCCAGTAGATGCCGAAACTGTAACTAGTACTGAACCCAGTATATACCATACCTATGAGAAAGATTAATTTATAAATTAGGCACAGTAAGAGATTAACAAAATAATTAATAATAAAATTGAACTATTATAACAACATACCATAATAAAAGTTATGTGAATACAAGTTGTGGTCTTTCTTTCTGCAAATATCTTACTGTATTGTACTCACCCTTCTTGTGATGATGTGAGGTGATAAAATGCCTGCATGAGGAGATGAAATGAGGTGAATGACAGGCATTGGTGGCGTCGTGTGAGGCTACTCTTGACCTTCCGATCACAAGTCAGAAGGAGGATTATCCACTTCCAGACCCTGGTTGGTGGAGTAGGGAGTACAGAGGAATGGACTGAGAGGGGAGAGCTCTTTGCTTCTCATTCTCTAATATCAAGATATGGCCCATCCCATGCTTTCTTTGCCAATGAGATTATGAAGTAAGTGGCTGAGAAAGAGGAAGAAGAGTCTCTTTTGAGAGAGTGTAATGTAGTCCAAAGTGTTCCTTCTTCCCTGGACCAAGGGTGAACATGAGAAGGAAGAGGAAAAGGGGCCCCTAGGTAGAGCAGCTCCCACAAGGAAGAAAGACTGCTTCAACCAAGTCCCCGACACCACTCATCTTTTAAAACTTATTGGTCAAAAGGAGGGGATATTTCTATTTTAGAGCTGACTCCTTGGATGTATTTCTCCTTCAATGGGGCTCCTTCGCTGGAGTGTCTGCTGTAGTTTAGACACTATTATCAGGATTCATTCAAGCAAGCAGTGGTTCTCAAACTTAAACTTGCATTAGAATCACCTGGAGCGCCTGCCAAACCGCAGATGGCTGGGTTCCTGACCCAGTGTAAAGTGGGAGCTGAAAATTTGCATTTTTTAAGAATATTTTATTCATTCACTTGAGACACAGAGATACAGAGAGAGAGCATGAGCAGGGGGAGAGGCAGAGGCAGAGGGAGAAGCAGACTCCCCACAGAGCAGGGAGCCTGATATGGGGCTCGATCCCAGGACCCTGGGATCATGACCCGAGCCAAAGGCAGACTCTTAACCACCTGAGCCACCCAGGCGCCCCGAAAATTTGCATTTCTAACTTAGTGCAAGGTTACATTGGTGCTGCTGGTTTCAGTGCTACCGTTGGAGAATCTCTGGAGTAAGCAGAAAAACTCAAGTTAGAAGCCAGCTGAAACTGAGATCAGCAACACATTTGCATGGCAAATACCTGGCTAGGCAGGCTCCAGTCCTTTCTAGGCACTCCCTTGGAGTGACTCCCTTTGTGTCCCCAGATCTCCATCATTAGCCCTCAGCTGTGGAGGTCTTTGTCTAGCCAGGTTAGTTTGCTTTCTCTCCCAGGTCGGCTTCTCCTTATTCCACAGTTCCTCTGAGAGAGAGGGTTTCACTGTATAATTCTGTGCAAGTCTGTTTACTCCAACCTCAGGCCAAAGCTACTTTCCTCCCATTCCTATGACCCCTCATGTGAGTGGCTACTTCGCTCTCCCCCTTGGGCAGATTTCCCCAGCTGCAGGCACCCACGCATCCCCGTAGTTTCCCTAAACTGAGCTCCCATCTGCATAAGCACAGCCTGGATTCTCTGGCTTGCTGATTTCTCATCCGTGGTGCTGCCCACTGGGCAGCCTGGGAGCCCGGCTCGCCATTCTGGAGCCCAGCATACGGGAATCTCTGACACTACCCATGTAGCTCTATCCTTGTAGCTGTACTCCCTCTACAAAAGGTTCCTGCTCTTCTCTGCTGTGTCCCCAACCCTGGTCCAAGTCCCAGTACCACCTGATCTTGCCCCCTGCCACCCCTCCAAGCCTCTCTTTCCTGGGTTATCCACTCTTCCTGTGTAACTTTGCAAAAGACAATAGGACATGTTATTTGATTCTAATGCACTTTTCTTGTTCTAAGTTAGGCTGATTACCCGCCAAGGCCATCAAGACTTTGGGGGAGGTGGGAATTTTTTGGAGGGAAGAACAAAGTTACACGATACTCAAATTACTATCAGTTAAAGCCTTATAATACTATGCAATAAAATTTACTTTACCCCAAACTGGATATTATATTACTTTTTAATAGATCGAAGGCACTTTAAGTGATTAAAGTGCTTTTTGTCATTATAAATGTTAATTATTATGGGCAATTAAAAATGCAAAAAGATGAAATTAATAGATCTTTCTGGTTGATAATATGATAGATAAATCAGCTTGTATTCTATTAGAAAGAAGATAAAGTAGAATAACGCCCTCTGATGTTTTCAGTGAAAATCTGGCTCAGACCTCTACTGCTTATGTGTCAGGCTGTTGATGTTGCTAAAAACTTCCTGACATATGAAATTGCATAATGGAATGTAATTATGAAAGCCTAAGAGTTTAAAATTATTAATATTAAAAATTATTTTATTCTGTATGGAAGACTTGTGAACATCATTAATCTTCACAATATACACTTAATTTTTATCTAAATGTAAGGGATACCATTCCCACCTGTCCAATCAGAAAATTCTTGCCCTACTAAAACGATATTCAACAAGTCTGCTCTACCCAACTATATTTGTACATGTAGTTTGACGATAGTATTTCCTTGAACGTTAAAATTTCTATGTCACAGGTGCAAAAAGAATTTGCAGCAATGTTACAAAACAGGAAAATCATTTATGTTTTCACAAAGTAAAACAGATTTACAAAGGTAGAGGGGCATCTTTCTTTGAAAATTACTTCCAATGAGCTTTAGGGCCCAGCCACCATTATCATCCCTTTTTCTACACAAATGATCCGTTGTAGGCTGCAGTCAATTGCTACACAATTTTTTATACATCAAGGCTTAGTGGAAAGAAGGAAGATGAAGAGGAAATATAAATTTCAATTTTCCGTTCATGGTCTAATGGCCTATTACTCAGCCAACTTTCTACACGTAGAAAGCCTTCATTAGTACACCATTAAGGATGACATTAAAACTTCTGATCTGTTCTTCTAGGTTGTAAGTTATGTCTTACATAACAAATTTTACTGGAGCTCCTTCAGGTCTGGTATCTATGTCTATAAATATCTCTATTCCTGCTATAGAAGTGTAATGGTGCAGAGTATAAAAAATATATGTACCTTGGTTTGAAAAATTCCTTTTGAAAGTGCAAAATTTAATAAATTTTAAAAAAAGAGGTAAGTGGCACAAGAGTAATGAAATGGATTTTAATTACTCTAATGTCACACTATCTGGTACAAGAGTAAACATGCCTGGATGTTTCTATCAACACTATAACCCTCCATTCAGGAGAGTGGGATCTCCAGGCTGATTTAGGTCATTTTCTGAAAGACGCTGCTGTACCACTTCTCTCCATTCTGAAATGTTCCCCTTGGGAAAAATTTGAAGCCTACCCTCTCTCAGCCCCAATGTTTTCCCATTAAAGGGCATTTGGGGAAGCAGCATAAAGCTGCTTCTCTCTAAATATTCCATTTTAACAGTAAATGTTGGTTTCTAGAACTTTCGATCCAGAGAGACTCAGCATTTAAGGTTCCTTTCACTAAGAAGCTGCTTAGGGTATTCCTTTCATAATGACCTACTTGAGAAGTGCAAATTTCTTATCTCTAAATTGGTATATGAAGTTTCCAAATGGACAAGGAGGCAAGAGATTTCAGGCACTGTCTCCTTCCTAACCGTTTCCTAGCCACTTCGTTCTTGCTCTCAGATCCCAAGCCATCTCCGGCTCACACCTGACCTCCCTTCTAAGAGCAGTTCTGGGTGTGCACAGGGCGTATTTAAGAAGCCACTGCCTCAAAAGCTTGCTGGCTGAGGATGGAACTCCACTCTACACTAAGCTCCCCTGCCTTGTAGCCAGACATCTTGTCTACCATCCCCTCTTCTGATCATCGGGACTCTTGGCCTCAGCTCCCGATCCTCTATTCTACCCTCTCCTAACCTGGGGTCTGACCTGCCAGGCTCTGCTGAGCTCTTCATCTCATTCTTAATCTGTTCTTCCTCGCCTCCCGGGCCCTGCTATACCCCTCACAGGCCTGCTCTGGCCTGTTGCCACAGAATCCAGACGAAAAGGACATCTAAGTCCTAAACTCTGTGGTGCTACCAGAAAACTATGTGAGTTCAGGCAAGTGGCTGAACGGTCTGAACTCTGTCTCTCTCCCTGTGTGACCCCGGGAGCTGTGTTGGGGCATCTCTAGGGTCTTTTAAGATTTGAAAACTCTAGTTGCTGTGGGGCCTCTTTCCCGCCTCCCTCCACTTTCAATCTTCTGATTCTGTTTCAAGCAAACAAGCAAGAGTGCAAAGTGCGGTGACACACGGGTAAGACTCCATTCTCTATTTGTAAGGATTACAGCATTTATCTTTATTTGCACTGCCCTGTACAGCTGACAAAGGAAGGCGGTGTGTTCAGAATCTTGTTTTATGCCTGGGTAGCCGGGTTCCCAGCATTTGAAGGGAGCTCCTCCACATAAGCAGCAGGAAAATGGCCCTTTTTTCCATTCAGGGAGCCAAACCACCATCCTTCTTCTTGTTTCCTGTATATAGTCACAATGTCGCCTGTGAAAATGCATATTTAGTTAGACAAATGGCTCTTTGCTATTTAAGCACATGCCCGAGCCCAGCTGGTAGGACAGTTTTAAGGAGATTCTGCTTTCAAGGAGTTACTTGGTAGCATCATTCTCTGCACATGATTCAGATGAAGCAAAATTTATCCAACACTTCTGTATAAAGCGGGCATAATGCAGAGAATATTAAAAAGAATAAGGTAACAGGCACTCAAGTTCTGCCATAAGATAGTTTCATTAAAAACAGTATCATATGGGATCATATATACTTCTTGTGCTGGATGGCTTACTCTGGATACAGCCTATCAAACTTTTCTCAGTGTCTGTGTTTTCAGGGTTTCTCATGTTGGTGGCCGAGATAGTCTGGTATGGTGACTGTGAGGAGTGTGTCTCAGCTACCAGACTTTTCTTTAGATCAAGACAGCTTCTCTCCATTACATGAGCCAGTTTTATAGTCCAAAGTTCCAACTCACAGCTTTGCACAGAAACACAACTCCCCGTTCAGCAATGTAGATCGCTTTAATAAAATATCCATTTGAAGACAATACTTTTTAAAGCAATGAATCAAATACACAGACTTCCTAAGAAACACATGGCCCTTCTCTAATTCCCTCTTTTTAAATAATACTATTCTGATATTAATAACCCTAAAGCTTAACCTGGTGCCCCAAATCCTCTGGCTAAATGCTTCTCTTGCGAGAAAGAGTCCTTCCCCTCTGGCTGTTGACTATACATCAAAGCAGAAACATCGTCTTCCTTCAGGATCCAAGAGCTCCTCTATCTTGAGCATCCTTCTGAGGTAACTTTTCAGTCTTTCTTTCATTCTCTTCCCCAGTTATTTTCTTTCTTAGGTAAAGGACTGTCCACCCCTCTTCCATCCCACCTCTCTCATAAATCACTTTTTATTCTTACAGGAGATCATTCTCAGCCTAAGTTCTACCTCCAATGAGTTCTCTCAGGTCAGCAGATCTCCGGTCAGCATATCGACAGTCTACTAACAGGAATTCAAACAAATAATTTAAGGTCTTGTTGCCAGCTTCCCCAAGCCTCCAATGGCTCCATTTACTTAAAGAACCTACTTACAATATAAAGTATAAGTAGACTTTGCTGCCAACAGAACTGAAGACAAAGAAGAGAATCAATTTATTGTGTACCTATGTAACTCAAAGCCAGGCCCCGGGGTCTAGGTGGCATCTGGGAAATGCGTTTTTTATTCACATGGGAAGTGGGAATACAGCATTTCATTTACTCATTTACTGCTGTAGGGTAAACCTAGGATGACATGATGAGGAACAAAGTGACTTCCAGAACACTTCCTACTTTTAAATAAAGGCAACATTGATTTAAGATGAATGGAAGAGAGGGTCTACTTTCTATTTCCTTTTTTCTTATTTTTATTTATTTCTGAGCTAGAAGGAAAAGTAGTTGCTGGAAGAAGTCTGGCTGGTGAACTGAAAAGGAAGCATCCGTTAACCAATAGCAAGTACGTGGTGTCCCTGTTGTATGGCTACAAAATCCATCGTGACTTCCTGTTGGCTAAGCTCTCTCCTACAACACAACTCTCTTTCACTCACCTTTTCATTTCTGGATCTCTGCCTTAGCTTTAACATCCAAATATGGTTGCTAATTGGACACACAAAGAAAGTTGAGGCTAGTGACTTTTTCTTATTTAATGATGAGGGTAACTCATGACAGCACACCTTTCCATGTTCAACAAAAATCTGTGACACAGAGAAGGGGGTCATTTCCTAGACTGGCCATAAACCACTTTTCTGAGAGGTAAGTGGGAGAAACGTTAAGCTGGGAGTTCTCTGATCCAACTTCTAGAACTCACGCTTACCCTAAGCCATGAGAGGAAATCATTTCACATTCCTGTGTGTTTAGTTTTCTGAAAAAGAAAAAGGTGGGGCTACCTTTCTAATAACTTTCCATTACCGACACTCTATCCCAGTGAGCACTGTGATAAGAAGCATGACTCTGGGTTTCTGAGTTCAGAGCCTGTCTATCACTTCTTGTAACTTCAGCCAAAGTACTTAACCTTTCTATGCCTCAGTCTCTCAACAATAAAATGGGAATAAACAATAATACCTACCTCAAAGGGCTTTTATGAACTTTAAATGGGACAATGTACTTGCAGCAATGTCTAGCACTTAGTAAACACTGAATAAATGTCAGTTATTTTTATTATGTGACTTTTATTTTTGGCGTGCCTTATCTTTATGTCTCAAAAAGGGTGATTATAAACCTGAGATGATTTGATGTTGTAGTAACTTGTAAGGCTGTTGTAACAAAGACAGGAGTGTTACTCAAGTGAAAGATCTCAACATGGTAAGGCGATCAAACTATTTGAAAATGATTCTTACCTTTTTCCAAATTTAATTCATCATCTTGTCTGGCTTGAAAAGAATATAAAGCCTTGCAAAGACCACTGCCGAGCTGGGCCACACCGGAGGCTGAAAGTTGGATCCAGTTATAATTATTAATGCTGTGTCAGTAGGCAAGATGAATATGATGGGAAGCTCTTGAGTTATTTCATGGTGTGGTACAGAGCCTAAATATACTGACATCTTCTCAAAAGGAAAGTTTGTAATTTCACACAATATTCATTCCTTAGTATAGTACCCATTTATGATACACTACTATGTGTATGGACTAGGTATATGATATAATAAAAAACTGTATGATAATGTGGAACATAATAAGTCTGGAGAAAAAAATAATAAAGATAATTAAAAATTGTTTCCCACATGAACTTCTTTATCAACATCAGTTAGCTAATACGTATGGTAGTTGATGCATGTTTTGGAAAACACACACCAGTTTTGCCATTCAGGTAGAGATAGGGGCCCTGGAGCACGTGCTTGCTTCCATCACCCCGAGGTTCTGATGAAACTGTTTTTTAAACATTGTGACGGTGAGTCTTTACTACACCATGTAGACGATTATGTCCCGGGTTTTCCTGAAACTCTTCCTGCCAACTTCTCATCAAGAAACTCAAGAATCAAGGTTACGGAAACTATAGTTAAACAAGGGACAATGACGTGTGTGAATGTGTATGTGAGTGTGTGTGTGAGTGTTGAAAGGTGAAAAGTGGGGGGTGTGCTTGGGCAAATAGCTAGGGTCAGGCAGCTGAATAAAGGGAATAGGTAGGTCTTGGGATCACCGTATTTCTCACAGAAAGGACAGGATTTCCATGGAAGTTTGGAGAACGGTGTGGAAACAGAGCTTCTCACAATGGTTCAGGGTGAATGTATGGGCAGCAAATTGCAGACTGTCTAAATAATATGGATGCTAGTCATCTAAGGGACCTTCTCATAGCTTACATTTTTTTCCCCCAATCCTCTGCTTTTTGATTCCTTCCCACATTTTGGATTACATCTGCACAGAAAGCACACAAATGCTAACAAATTAATCAGTGCTAACCGAAATGCAAATTTCTTTGAGCTGATATATGCCCATGTGACTCTGAAAATAAAATGTAAATGTCACAATGTGCTTTACCAACAGAATCCGGCCCCAAATTATTGTGGGCACGGGATTACCTGTAGATGAGGAACTTGGGATTCTCTGCCCACCAGAAGATGTCCTGCTCACAACATTCTCTAATCTCTTCATCAGAAAAGGCCGAGTTATTTTTACATAACTATGTGTCTGTTGCTGTTTAAATAGTACAAAAAAAAAAAAGAAGAAGAAGAAGAAGAAAAAGTCATTTTAACAACACTGTCATCAAAGGTAATTTTGAAAAGTAACTCTTCCACATTCCTGTTTTCCTCAGGAATTTTTTTTTATTTTGGGGGGAGCATATAAATAAGTTATTCAATACTTTTCTAAACTCTACTATAAATCTGAATTGTTTCTGAAGCCGTAATATTTTCAGAATTAGAAAAGTACCACACTGTACAGCCTGTGTTTGCAATTCTGACCTGCAGCTCCAGGTCAAATAATAACATTCAGAGCTGAGCTTCCTCAAATTCAACTTTAATGCAAGTGAATTTGTCATGACTCTAAGTGATTGAGATCGGTTTAGAGTCATGAAAAGAAAAGAATCCCTTTATCACAAGATGGTTACAGCTCCCCCTTCTGACAGGAAATGGAAAACAGCTTCAAGGAGGAGCGACTCCTGTACCTTCACGTGCTCATCATCAATTCAACTAGCATATTGCCGGGAAAATACATGGGTGTGACTTTTTCAAACTGTCCTGACGCTTTGCCCACATTATGTACTTTGTTAAATGGATGGGACTATTGCATATCACAAAATCTTATGATTTAGGTCTGTATGAAATTTTACTCTAAAAGCATGTCCAAAGAATAAAGTTAAGATATGAGGTGGAAGAAGGAACCCAAAATGTTATTAGCTCCTTGTATTTAGTCTACAAAGAATGTATTCATTTGCAATTAGCTCTTGTTACTGCACTCAAAAGGAATAAAAATAAATTTATCTTAAAATTCCACATTGGGATTTGAGATACAGGGCACATATAATTCATAATAGCCTTTTTGCCCTGGTACTACTTGAAGTCATTCCATACCGCAAGCCCCGTCAAGAAATTACAACTCGTCTCTTAAATTTTTACCTTTTCTTTCCACTTGAAGATGGAGTTACTACAGGGATGGCTGGGTTGAGGTCTTTGCTCAAGTTCTGCTAACACCGATGACAGTTTGTAGGAGTTTGCTTGCAAAAGGTCTAGTTTCAAATTGGTCTGTGGATACATCATTTGGCCATGTGAGTAAATTTCTAGAAAATGAGGCACAGCTGGGTGGGTAAAGGGATATCAGGGTAACTTCCAAGATGACAAAGAGGTCTAGAAAGGTACACATTCAACTCATGCAGACAGGCACAGAAAATGTTAAAGAGAGCAAAAAGTGGACACTTTAAGCACCTTAAAGGAAAACCCTGGTTGTTGAGTGTGCCTTATTCCAGACTCTTATAAACAGGATAAACTGGAAACTTAGATAGATCAATATTTTGTGGCAACAGATAGTTTTACTCACTTTTCTGTTGAGGAGTGAGAAAGGGGGATAATAAAGTATTGATTACAGAAGGTAGACTTTCAGAGGGCTTTGAAGAAAGGCAGTTGAATGGCTCAGCATTGTGAACACAACTGAACTCATATCAAATAGAATCAAACTAAAATGGTGTGAAGTGGGTTTTGTTGTTGCTGCTGCTGGTGTTATTGTTTTTCTTAAAGAAGCGAGGTCTTATATTACCCAAAAAGTTTGCAATAACACTTCTGGAAACTGGAAACAATATTCAGGAGTATTTGGGTATAAAAATAAGTGAAGCTAAAGATACACTCCTAGTTCTCCATTTGACCTCCTGTTCCCCATTTGACCTTGACCTAGAAACTTAATAAGAGCTTCTTTGACAAGCTGTGTTCAGTCAGGGTGCCTGGAATCTAAGCAATGGAAGGGGCCCGCTTATCCCATCTCTTCTTCACCATTATTTCTCCCTTTTCCACACCTCCAGCATGGCGATTCCTAACCCTACATCTCTGCCAGGGGGCCACAACCATGGACTGAACACCTCTGATCAATGGGGAATGATCCACTGTATTGTGGGGCAGGCTTACCTAAGATGAAATCAAAACCCACCGCATACCTTCTACCATTAGACCTAGTCTGCATCTGAGAACATTATAGGGCAAGCCTCCTTCTTCCTCTGTGTGGTGCTCCTTCCCATATCTGAAGACAGTGTCTAAATATATTCAGTTTCTGCAAAAATTTCTCATAGAACATGCCTTACCAACATTCTTGCTTCAAATATGGCACTTAAAGGACCAAGAGACAATGAATGGGGAAGAATTTAAATGAAACAGAGTTTCTTCCTGCAAGAAACCTTCCCTGGGGAACACAAAGTCTACCAACATCGCCAGTTTCCGTCCACCAGATGCAGGGGTATAACCAAGTTAGATGGGTATTTGGCATCCACTACTTGAAGGTTCATATTGGCTCCATCATAAACACCGTGAATTCAGGGGGCAGACCCTCTCCGACCTTGCACGCTCTGCTGGGTGAATCAGGCCAGCATGTACCCAGATGATCCCAGTACATGTTCTACGCTGGTAATGACAATGAAAAATTCTATGCAAGAACAACTGAAGAAATAAACTTACAACTTAACACCATCACAAAATTCTCCACATGACTTTATTTTGGTAAATATTATTTGCATAGATTTAATAGACCAAACATTTTGCACTGTCACAGAAGATGTCCTACAGACTGCTTTCTAATTTCACAGGAACCACAGTCATGCGTCCCTGCAAGTGTGTTAGACCTCTGCCCCCAAGTGAACAGAATTCAGGCCTTTTCTTTTCACTAAGAGTGTTAGGCTTGTTTTTACAACAGCTCCCCCCTCTAAAGGAAGCCTCAGCTAAAAAACAGATTAAACTGTACTTGGCTATATCAGTCTCCTTTCCCCAGAGAACTACTGACATTGCCTATTTGGACAGAGATATTAGGTACCTGCGTTCACAAGAGAGTTAGGCTACCTACAAGGTACCGAGAGCTGGCCTAGCTGTCCATATCCTTCAAAACATTACTAAAGATTGTGTATCTCTTCCTGAATTCTTCTCAGATGAATTCCAGTCAACTTCCTCTCTCTCTCCCATCACAGCAGAAAACCTGTATCTAGCACATGTAGTTCCTAGTATCTGATTGTTTTTATTCCTACGTAAAATTCACAGGCCTCTGCTGGCCTCCCTTTTCACTGTGGGTGCCTCTGAAGCGGCCACATTGTCCATCGCTCCCCACAAAAGCCCGGGCAGGTGGGGGATGCTGCTGTGGGCCAGGCTCTCAGCAAAAAGGCCCAGAGATGTCCCTGCCCTCTCCTGACAGCACCTCCCCTCCCCTCAAAGACCACCTCAGCCTCTAAATGTTTTTCCCTTGTTCTCAGAAGTTTTTGCTACACACCCCAGACTACCCTCTTCCTTCCGTGCAGCCACAGTTTTCCTTTTTCCTGTTATTTTCAGAAGCCCCTGACGTTAGCTGACGGACAAATGGAAAATGGACTCTTCATAGTTACCAGGATTTTGGCTCTCCTCTGTGCACAGGGCTGGCACTTTCTAGCTAATACTTCATCCTCACAATAACCCTTTGAGGTAGGTACTGAGAAAAGTAAAGTCCCAAGTCCCTGGAAAGGGCAGAGCGAGATCCAAATACAGGCCTTTCTGAATGCAGACCCTGTGTTTTTAATCACCTTTCTTAACCGGGTTAAAGTACACATGGTTTCCAGACCCTGATGGAATTATTCTATTTTGGGGAATTCTATTTTAGGCACAAGTGGTTTCCTGGAAGAACACTAAAGCAAACATGTCTAAGTAGCTGAATTTTTCCGATCCCTCAAACTGCTGGTCAAGGAGGCTCTCTGACTAGATTGTTCTATGTCATGAGAAAAGAAAGGCAAGCAGAGGTCAAATGGGCCCAGAAAACAAGCATTCTAAAAATAGCTCTTTCATCATTAAATCTAGGAAAGTGGATGCTGCCAATATTTACCTCGTCCATCAAGGCTGCTGTGATTTTTTGACTCTCTGCGTCCGAGAAGGCGGGGTCCCTGGAGTAGGACTTCAGCATGCGTTCCAGGCCTGACAATGAAATCACCCTTACAGTCACCACTGTTCATCCTGTCTTGGAGGGACTGAGACGGGGCACGTGCAGGGGGAGCCTGAGCCCAGAAGTCACACCAGGAGGATTTCCCAGGGCCCGAGGCTCTTTCTCTTTGTAGTTGCTACTAACTTTTACTGAATGGGTGGCCTGTACCTTCATTTAATGAAAGTTGAGAAATTCTGGTGTTTAAAAAATCTTGATTGTTATTTTGCAAGATGAGCTTTTGAATCCTCCTTGTGGACCGAGTCTGTGGTCGGTTCCCAAAACTATCCCAGTGTTAGGCTCTCCCTCCCTACGGTAGTTAAGTTTCTAAACATTTGACTCTCTCGGATTTCCTAGCAGGGATTACATTTCAATATGTTGTTCTGGTCCACATCAAATAAGCTCCACAGATCAGAATCACAAGCTGTTTTTATTATCTGTATCGCTTTAGAGCTACTTCACATTCTGACATCCCTAACTCATCTAGAAGGATAGTTTAAAAAGAAATAAACAAGGAAACCAAAAGCTGTGTGCACAAGGAGGTTTACCATGTTTTAAACCAAACGAGTTGTCCCTCATTCCAGACAATTTCAGAAACACGGCAAAATGCTATTATTTCTGGAAATGGAGACATAGTGCTTGTCTAGCTCTCTCAAATAGACCAAAATGTCATTTTCAATCTGTTTGCACTCTCCTTTCTTCTTTCCCATTTTTCTTTATTCACACATATTAGCTTTGACACATGATTCTTTATTTTATTTATTTATTTTAAAGATTTTATTTATTTATTCATAAGAGACAGAGACAGAGAGAGAGGCAGAGGGAGAAGCAGGCTTCCTGCTGAGCAGGGAGCCCGATGTGGGACTCGATCCCGGGACTCTGGGATCATGACCTGAGCCGAAGGCAGACGCTGAACTATCTGAGCCACCCAGGCGCCCTTGACACATGATTCTTTAAATGAGGTGATCCTTGCCCCAATTAGCAGAAGTGGAATCACCCTACCTCTGAATGAAACCTCTGAGTAGGAAGAACACTTTCCCTTATTGGGCCATTCACAGATATAATTACACACCTTCCTGGTCTCTTGAGGCTTTTTCAATATCTTTTTGCAGTCTTAACAGTTTTGACTTTAATGAAGACTCTTGTCGCTCTTTATTCATTGCATTGTTAAGATCTTCTTCCTTTAGGGACAAAAAATGATGCTTGACAATTTAAGGAGAAAAAGTAAGGTTTGCTACTCCTAGTTGCACTGAGAATTTCACTGACAACTGTATTTAATATTAACTTGACAGAAGAAAAAAGTAAAAAATAAAATAAAATAAAGTCAGGATAACCTTTGGTTTTATACAGATTGTTCTATCTGTTCTAGACCTGTTTAATAAGAAAACATCTTGTCCACAACTTGTACGTACATAGCTGAGCACTTTCTTTAATAGAACACATTATTGTTGGAGAAAGAGCCTTACTATAATTATTTCATAGTTTCTTGATAAGTAAATCTATTCATTGGATACTTTACCTATTAATCTTGATTCAAGTTAGAGTCCTTTAAAGCTCCAAAGGTAGCATGGTGTGTTTGCCGGGAGCCAGGACTGCCTCAGGAGTAGAACAAATGAATGTTGTGCTCTGTTCTCTATTGGCTGGCTACTGGGAACACACGAGCTCTTCCCAGGATGGGTCTATAATTTAGTCAGGCCTTGAAGCATACATTAAGAGACCTAGCAATTCAAGGCCACATTCATTCATGAGTGGTGCAGACAGGAACACGTGATTCAGTGAGTGCCAGGACATGAAAGTTTCAAGGAGGCTAGAAGACTTAACCAGAATTTTTTGGTCAAGGCGAAGGAGGGCAAAGGGTATCCAGGGCAGGAGAAATGGCACAAGGAAAGGACAGAGGGAGGCTGCAGGAGAGGTGTCAGGAAAAACACACACACCAGTTGCTTGAGCAAACACCGTGGAAGGAAAAGTTGTCTTGGCAGTTTAGGCCAGATTTTCGAGTTGAAGTAGGGGATTTTGCCATAGAAAATGTGAGAACTGTTAACAATATCTGAGCTTTCACATCCATTATTTCAAGGGTCGAATGAAAAAAATGAAGATGTCAGGGTCAGGTAGGGAGGCGGCTGAACAGGAGTGTAGCAGAAGGACAGTAACCCGTGGGGAAAGAGGGGACACTAACATCTGAAGACGGAAGTAGAGGAGTCAGGACTTTGCTGATACAGAAGGAGAAAAACAAGAATCCTGAAAGTTAGTGGAGAGATTAGCTTTAGATAGTTTGTCATGAAGCGTGAGGATTTAGAACAGAGTGAATAGCCTCGATAGGAATAATAAGGTATAGATAAGCATATTTGACTTACATATTGTGAATTGTATATTATAAAAGTTGATATCTTTATTACATGTGATTCTTACAACAGCTCTATGAGATTGGTTTTATTTTCCCCATTTTCCCTCTGACACTCAGAGAAATAAATGAAGACCCAAAAGAAACAGTTTGAAACCCAGGACCTCTGAATCCCAGGGTTCCTCCCCATCTGCTCCTGCACATGCCCAGCCCCCACCCCCCCACCCCCTGCCCTGCAGCCCCGCAGCCCCCAAACCAGCCTGCGCTGAACTGCAAGGCTGTCTAACTCCACCCCTCTGGCACTCCTCACTGGAGAAATGCACATCATACCCCAGCTCTGGCTCGGCTGGGTGCCAGGCCAAGACTTCATTTGGGTTGTTTGGGGATGCCTATTGTTTACAAATGTATTTCCAGAAGTGGATCCTTGCTGGCACAACTCAAGGATAGAAAGTACTGCTGTCCTTTAACTTTCTTAAATTCGTCCTTCTCTTCCAAAGATTTTAGAAAGATCAATATTGAAGGTGGCAGATGAAATTGCAGATGCAACCTTCTGAGCATGGCCTTCACGGTAACCTTACAAATATTTTCACAGCGATCACCAGCCCCTCAATACCTGCACTTGGATTGTTCTCTTGTCTTACCCTAGTCCCTGTACATTTCCAGTCTATGCTTATTGCCAATGTCTCTAAGGGCAGATTCTGGCCGAGTTTTGCTTTGAGGATATTAAGGAAATCCCATTTACCCACTTGGAGATACAGTCCATTCTCTTAGACAACAGACATGTAGTCATTAGCTCTGGTGCCCTGACTGTTCCATAGAAACCAAAACTTCCCATGGGCATGTCAATTACAGATGAACAGTCACGGCTGCCTCCCTACATCTCACTAGAAGGCTAATCACATTTTCAAGGAGAATGACCCCTATTTTACTGACAGGCTAGTCAATAGGCGCTTTTTATAAGAAAGTAACAAATATATTTTATTGTACATTTTCCCATCTCAGGGGTTGCCTACGCCATTTGGAAGAGAAAAAAAAAAAAAAGACGAGAGCTTTCCGCTTATAATCAAATCTCACTTTCCACTTCCATCGCTACATTTGCTTCTGCTTCGAACAGACACTGCTATCGCTAATTTGCTTCACTTTTGCCAGGGTAGGAAAAAAAGATTTAATTCAAGAAATAGGTGGCCACTTACGGCTGTTTGGAGGGTGGGGGAGGGGAAGGCTGCTCAGGAGCCACTGTTGTGTTTAATCTAATTGCCTTTCCTCCTCCTTCATCTCTTGTTCCCTGAGCAGGACTCCTGGGATGTTGACTTCAGCTACACTTTGAAGCCTATAGGAGGCCATGACCAGTAGGCTAGTTCTCCATACAGGGGGAAATGAACCTTCTCAATCTGGACCTTGAAAGTCTGGACGAAATACAGCAGAGGAATTCTTCCTGCAGATTGCAGTAATTAATGATCAGTTCCTAGAACACTACAATTAAGACTAACAAGAGGGGAGCAGAGAACAAAATCTTTGAGGTGTGACCCAAGAAGACAAAGAATGTCCCCCCAGATAACAAAGAAGTGAGATGCCTAGGCTGTGACCAGGCACACTGATCAGTGTTTAGCAAGTTTCATATAATAGTAGAATCACCCAAATGCCCTCAAAATAAGCTTCTGTAGTATGGTGTGAGGTTTTCAAAGGCAAGGACCATGAAGAATGTTGACCATGATTCCCACCTTCGAGGAGTCCTGCCTTTGTTCGATTCCTTCCACGTACACTTACTGACGTGCGCTTGAACTATTGGGCTGCACTTAATAGACTTGGTTCTGACAAATAGAATACGAAGAGATGTCACTTCTGAGATTAGCTTATAAAGACTACTTGGACACTACTAGTGTCCAAGATGGACACTAGCTCTTGTCTCTTTCGGATCACTAGCTTCTAGGGGAAGCAGGCTGGCGTATTGTGAACTCCCCATAGGTGGAGAGAGCCTGCATGGCAAGGAGCTGGTATCTGCAGCCACCAGACTGGGGGAGGGGGGGGACCAGAGGCCTGCCATCTGCCATGTGGGTAAGTTCAGAAGCAGGTCATCTCCCAGGAGAGCCTTGGCATGTCTGCACTCCTGGCTGACACATTGATGGCAGCCTTGTGAGGGACTCAGAGGCACCCAGGGAAGCCACACCTGGATTCCTGGCCCACAGAAACTGTGAGATGATAAATGCTTGTTTTAATCTGCTAAGTTTGGGGGTAATTGTTATGCAGCAATAGACAACCGATATGATATACAGTGATTATTTACAGGTCCTGAAACACGTCTGCCTAGGATTACTCTAGAAGACTGAGCATAAAGATTCAGTCTAGAATCCCGTTTGACTTTCTTCCCTTCCAGAGGACACCAAAGACTTATTTCTATTGCCCAGTTTGTAAACCACATCCTTTTCTTTTATTTATACAGACTATGAAAAAAATCAATATTTTCATTCACAAAACAAGATATTTCCTTTACGATTGCTCTCAATGTTTTTCCAAATGCGTCCCTTAGCCTGTGAATGGGGTTCCCCATCAATGGGACTTCCTTCCATTCCATACTTACAAAGTAATCGGTTAATAGGAACTCGGATTTATTTTCTGTGGATGAAACTGCAGTTTCTTCCATGACAGCCTGGGTATCTTTTTCCACATCTATCTTGCTGATAGCACAGTGAATCTGCGTGTGGCACTGCAATGCCAAGAAAGCAGAACAGGGTTGCTGAAGAATGTTTCCTGCCAGTTCTTACCACGCGCATCAGAAAGAGAGAAATCTTTACTACTCACTGTGGTCAGAGTTTGGCCAAAAACAGAAATATGTTGGGTGTATTGGTTCAAGTTATTGTATAAAAGTTTAATTCTTTCCTTCTCCAGTTCCAGGATGCTCTGAAAAGGATGGAAAATGACAGAAGATGAGCCAGTTGTTGTGCAAAACTAAAGGCACCCAGCCAGGCTCTGACGCACCCCAAGAAAGCCTGCAGGAACGGTCAGGTTAGTGCCTTCTGATGATCTCATTTCCAGGCTGCAGTGGGGTAGATGCCCAGGACAGGATTGTGGTCTGGTGAATGTCCTGTTTATCCTCATTTAGGATTGTTTTAACTCACATAATTTTCCCAGACTGTTTTGGCCCAAAAGGCGTATAGGCTGATGTTATTGGTTACCTGACATTCACAAAGAAAGAGATCATTTGAAAAGCATCTGTGAGTTCCTTTTTTTCTCTTTTTTAAAGATTTTATTTGTTTGTCAGAGAGAGAAAGAGAGAGAGCACAAGCAGGGGGAGCAGCAGGCTCCCCACTGAGCAGGGAGCCCCATGTGGGACTCAATCCCAGGACCCTGGGACCATGACCTGAGCCAAAGGCAGATGCTTAACTGACTGAGCCACCCAGGTGTCCCAGCGTCTGTGAGTTCTAGAGAAGGAGTGTGAAGCCCAGTAAAACCCATGTCCATATCTTGGAAATGCATTCAGACTATTTGACAAGAGCAGAACCCCAAAGTCCGATCAGCTTTGAAATTATGAAATTTTAGGCCAGGTTTTAGGAACACATTGTATCCTAGTAAGCAGCTGTTTCCTTATTTGGACACGAGCTGAGCCACCAGCATCAATCTGAAACTAGAATCACCAGTATCTCTTGGTGGAGATGGTAATGGTTAAGAGATTTTAATTACATTTCAGGGAAATCATTAAAATGATCTATATTTGCTCATGAAAAGAGGCAGAGATAAATTCCACTGTGCAAAGGGGAAATCCAGATCTCATTTAGTGAATTATTGCTTTCTATTATCTTGTTCTTTTTGTATAAAATAGACAGTAGAGAAGCAAAATACTCTGGAGGACCTAAAACTGTCCTCCTGTGTCTTTACGATAGCACATATATGAGTGTGTGGTCAGAGTTAAGCAGGAACAGCAGATCTGGAGCCTGGTTGGGGCCCAGGCACCATGGTAAATCACACTCTTCATTGTTTTCAGTCCCGTTGTCCTGGTCTTCTGGTCTGTACCACTCAAGGAGTTTGGAAGGACTTCATTTTCATCTAAATTGCTTAAATAAAACTGATCAAAGAAATATGTTCTTTCTAGAGCAAGAACTCTCAAATTTTAGCATGCTTAGCAATCACCTAGACACCTTCCTAAAATCATTCAGAGGTTCTGATTCATCCCATTTAGGGAGGTGCTCAGGAATCGGAATTTTAACAAGCATGCTAGCTGCTTGGAGACATTGTCCTGGGACTATAAAGGGCCACAAAAAAATCTAATTTCAAAATTATTTATGATCCTTCCACCCAGAGCTAACCCATTAGCATTCTGATGTATTTCAGTCCTAGGTATGCGTGTATGTATGATTTTATTTTTCTAGTTACCTAGCAAATTATTCAAATTTGTATCCTGTTTTTTTCACTTAACATTATACAAGAGTGGTTTCTCATGTTTGTCTCCAGAAACACCATTTTTCTGTGTGTTCACTGTGTGGGATTGCATACAGTGCATTTGATTCATTTACTCATCCCCTTAAGGTTAGCCATTTGAATTGTTTCCTTCCTTTTGCTTTTTATGTATTTTGAACAGAAATTGCTTTGTTTTTCAGCTATTTCCTCAAGATGGATTTATAGAAGGAAAATTATGTTTTTCACCGTGGGCTCCAGGAGAGAGCCAAGCTTCTGTCCCGAGGCAGCCGTTGTAGGCCCTATAAGTCACCCTCTCCCCGCCTGCATCTAAAGAGGTACAGTCACTATCCACCTTGGGGGTACTGTGAAAACAATCACTCAGATCATTTTCTGTGTTCTGTGGTTCGGATGAAGAACACTGTTGAGAAGGTGAACATTTTTAACACTCTTGACATTTATTGCAAATGCCTCTCTAAAATAATTCCTTGAGTACTTACTGTTGGAACCAAACATTTGGCTCTTGGTAATTCTTAGTAGCATGGCTATTGTTTTTAAAAATATATTATAGATTATTTCTGCCAACTGAATTGTTTGTTCTTGGAAGGTAGGAAAGGTGACTTGAGCATGGTATGATTATGAATAGTAAGACTAATTAACATGTGGTTTGTGGAATTGGTTTTATTACTTCATAACCTCACTTGAAACTTGACATTTCTTAGTATCTAGCAAACTGCCTTGAATGCAGCTCAACGAATGTTCTCTGAAAGAATTTATAAATCCAATTTGGAGAGGAAGAAGGGTAAGAGGATACATTATAGGACATTTCAATGAATTCTTATACCCCATTTCTACAGAAGAATGGTCCTGGGAGAATGGAGGGAAAAAGGAAACTGAACAACCCTCCTCACATTTCCACCTTGCACACTTAGGACAAAATTCCCCTTTATTTCAGTTCAGCCCACTTCTGTTATGTGTCTTCATGAATATAACATTCTACTTCTGAGTTTGTATATAATAGACGATCTAGAACACACAGTATAAGATGTGAGTCAGCGACTTGGTGGTGCAGACCCAGTGTATACAAGCCAAGGGAATATGAAGTAAAGGAATCGTTCTTGGTTAGGGCCAGGCAAGGATGACTCGGCAGAAGCAGTCTCGACTGGGTCTGCAGGGCCGGGCATGCACTTGGGAGGCAGAAGGTAGCTCTAAGGGAGCTGCGGTAAGAGGATGTGTGAGAACTGAAAGGGAGAGGTGGCACAATATTGGTGGCCTCTGGCATGGTGGTAACAATAAACCAGGACACAAGAAGGGTGAAAGGACATCTTTCTTTTCCTTACGGAGATTCGGATTTTGAGTAGATTCCCCATGTGACTTGGATTCTAATAAAAAACTTAGGGTTTTAAATATTTTTAAAGCTGAGTTGAAAGAGATTTTTTTAGAAACTTCAAGTATAATTAACATGCAGTGTTATACTAGTATCAAATATACAATATTATGATTCAATGATTCTATATATTACTCAGTGCACATCATGACCAGTGTCCTCTTAATCCCCTTTGTCTATTTCACCCATGCCCCGCCCCCCACTCACCTCCCTTCAGGAAACCACCAGTTTGTTCTCTATAGTTAAGAGTCTGTGCTTTTATTTGTCTGCAAAGACATCATTTCAAATAGAGATAAATGTATATCCTGTCACCATCAGGGAGACTTTATAAACAAAAAAAGGTTATTTCCATGATGTTTTAACATAAAAGTTGGGGCTGCTGAGAGGGGAGTGGGTCTGGAGGAAAGGTATAGGAGAACCCTAACAGGAAAAAAGAAAACTGAGAAAAAGGAAAGAGAGACCTAGTAAGAACCTCTGAGAAAGGAGTTGGTAAAAGCGATACCTAAGGCATTTTGAAGGCAGCTGGATGTCGGCTACCCCGGACATAGTGGCAGCCATACGAGGTAGGAACCATACTTATCCCCCATTGCTGTGATGTGGAGAAGTGAGAAGGATGCAGACATGGAGGTTAAGTATTTTTCTCATGGCCTTTGAAGGGAAGGTCTGGAAGATGGAATGGGAACAGCAATTTCTCTCTCATAATCTAACAGGGCTTCCCAGGAAGCCAGCCTCTGTGGAAAAGCCACAGCCTCACTGAGGAGTCCCAGGGGGTGAGGCAAGACCAAAGGCCAGGTTGGAGAGCCAGGTTGCAGATGGACCAAGTTGGAAATTAAATCCTTGGCCCTTTCTCGTCCTCTTCATCTAAAACCAGAAGAAGCAAGGAGGGTACCAAGACCCTATGTTTGATGGCATAAATTAAAAAAAGGTTTCTCCTCATTTCTTCCTCTCTTTGGCCTAGTTTCCATCTCTCCTTTAATTTCCCCGTTCTTCCCCACCTCTGCATCTATCCTGTCTTGAAAGGGGAACAGCAAGAGATTAACTGCGGCCCTTCGATTTCTGCTTGTCCAGCTCCTGTTAGCGCAGAAGCAGAGAGCTGAAGTCAAGTCCGTGGCATAGACTGCTAGGTTGAATCCCGTTGCCGTCTTGGGCAAGTACCTGCACGTCTCCACTCTCTCACTATAAATTGGGAATAAAATGATGACCTCTTCATGATGTTGTGATGAGCACAAAATACAACGTAGCGATGTACTCAGCACCGAGCCTGTCCCTAAGCAGCACCTGTATCATTCACACATTACTGTGCTTATCAAATTGCATCTTGACTGCCTCTTTCTGCAATTGTACCTTCCTTTAAGCATTTTTTTTTAACTTAAAATGTGGGGGAAAAAGAAACCAAAACATTCATGTTCTTAGCACCTAGAGTTGAACATTATTTAAGTTGGTCAGATTTATGTTGACTTAAAAAATAGAGGGCTACGCTATTCAGATAGATAGTAGTTGGAGTAACTTTTGGGCCCCGGTTTGTTTTGTCCTCTGCCAGGCTGTCCACAAGCCGTGTGGCTGTGCAGCTCGGTTGAATTCCCACCTTTTCCCTCCTACAACATAGATTCAATCTATATGTATGAGTTTACAAACACACACATAAAAACTCACTGTAGTTTGTGGTGTGAGTTTTTTAATGCTTTAATTTACATAAAGTGTATAAATAGCAGGTTTCTTTTCTTCGACATCATGTTTTTGAGGTTAATTTGTGTGTGTGTGTGTGTGTTGTTGTTTTTTTTTAAGATTTTATTTATTTATTTGAGAGAGAGAGAGCCAGAGAGAAAGCACGAGTGGAGGGGAGGGGCAGAGGGAGAGGGAGAAGCAGGCTCCCTGCTGAGCAGAGACTGAGCCACTCAGGTGGCCCTAATTTGTGTTTAAATATAGTTTTAATTAATATTTATTGCTAGATATCAGTCTACTTTCTAAATTAGAGTACATTTTAAGAGTAATTCCTCTATTGATAGGTATGAGGATTGTGTACAATTTTTTCTCATCCTGCAGTTATAAACAATTCTGCAATAAACATTGTTATACATCACCCTTGGTATACAGGTGTATACCAGGTAGACGCCTAAGAGGGGAACTGCCAGGTTGTAAATACATGCGCATTTCAGTTTTACTAGATACGATCGAGTTATTCTCACTAGGGAGGTATAAGAATTCTTGTTTCCCAGCAATTCTTGTTTAGCAAAACGTGATATCGCCACTTTTTAATCTTTGCCAGGTGATTGAGTGTCTCTTCATATGTTTATTGGTGATTTTGATTTTCCCTTTTGTGATCTGCTTGTTCATACTTTTTAAGTTTTATCGGATGATTTGCCACAATTCTTTCCTTATACATCTTCTTTGCTGCTGAGCTTACACCTCCCAGGTTGAGGTGGTCCTCTTTAATCATTGCTCCGGGGCCCAACACAAAGCCCCACAGACAAAGGAACTCCATAAGCGATTACTGTACAAATCAGCTCTCGGGCCTAAAACTCCTTTCTGAGTGCCAAATACTCAAGCCTTAATTACACTTCACTTCAACAGCACTCTTTGAAGTTAGCTGCGTGCTATCGTGGCCGTTGAGAATTAGAATCTGGCCACGGCTCCTCAGTAAATATGCACTGGTTATTGGATCCATGGAGAAATGGAAATGATTGGAAGTCATGTGGTTTGTCTAAAATCACAGGAGTGAGGGTCATTGCCAAGGACAGAGCTCATCAGGTCATGTAATTATAGATCTGACCTTCCTTTTCAAGGCCTCACCAAGCTCCCTGGAAGAAGAGAAAAACGTGAGCCCAGGACTCACCTGGTAACAATTTTCCAGTGTGTTTTCCCACTTGAGTCTGGTAGCACAGCCAGCCAGGTTTTTTTGGTAGTAATTTTCATCTTCTTTTGCCAACTTCTCCGTCGATTTTTTCAGTTTACTGAGGAGCTAAAGGAAAACACCAGTGTCATATATTCCTTAACACATTTATCAAAGCCCTTTGGTGATCCCAGGTAAAGGATACCTACAACCCAACCATACAGTTCCCATCTCCCAGCGGAAGTCAGCGGCGGTAGCTCTAGATGACAAAACCAAAGATCTTTATCAGAGAAAAGGCATACCAGAGCTGAAAGGAAACCTAAGGGTCTGTCCGCATTCCTTCAATTGTTCACAGGAGGAAATTGAGGTCCTTAAGTGTGACGTGATGTGCCCATGTTCATCCAATCAAGGAAGAGTCCAAATGACAGGTGAGGGGAAGCAAGCGCAGATTAGGAACCTCCAGCTCCAGACTGTAATCCACTAATGCTCCATGTCCCAGCATTTCTTGGCAAGGACAGGTGGAGATTGTGCAGGCACGTAAGTTTAGAACTGGCTCACTGGTGAAAAGCTCGAGGCACAGGCCAATGTTGACTACAAGTTGTGGACTGCTAGCCAGGTGCCTCCCACTCATCCTGCTTCCCAGTGATCTGTTCCTTCACAAGGAGCCCCCTCTTGCCAGCCACCAAAAGTGGCCATTCTGATTGTGAAGCCTTCTGGAAAATCAGAGTGATAACAAAACTCTCTGCACCAGGGTAGCTGAAATTCATTCTCAAAATGCTCAGACAAGTAATTTCACATCTTTGAGAACAAAGGAAGTTGTATTACATGAATTGTTCTCAAACTTGAATATGTTTAGGAAGGACCTGGGTGCTTATAAAATTGCAGATTTTCAGGGTCCCACAGGTAGCAATACCGATCCAGTAGTTCTATAATGGGATTGGGAAATCTGAATTTCACTACTTCTCAGGGTGATTCTGATGCAAATGGTCCTCAAAGCACAGTTCAAGGAAGACCAAAGATCCCTCTGATGTAAGCAGTTTAGGAATTTCAAGGACAGAGACAAAGGCTTTTAAAAATGACCTTCTTTATGCTTAAGGACATTTTGACTAATGTTTTAGTAATGAAGAACATTCATCCAAAATGGTGAATATTAACACTGCTCACTTTATTATTTCAATTGATATGCTAGCCATTCAATTGTCCCTTGGCTCTGATGTATGACTTACACAGGACACATTTGGCTTTGTGTATCAAATGTAATGAAACGCATTTATCTGTGGAAACATGAGCTCGTGAATTTCAACCTGATAACAATATAGTGAAAAAGCTGAAAGTGTGCCATGGCTATACTTTGCTAAATCATCATCCTTAGATTCTTACTGAGATGCTCACACCCCCAGCAACGAGAATGCAGTCACTTTTGAGATGAGTGCTCACATCAGCCTACACTACAGAGCTATATTGACTAGAAGTTTCTGTTTAGCAAATTTACAACAAATAACCCCAAATAGATATAAAAGAAGAACGGTTGACTTTTATATTCTTATTTAAGGAAATTCTCAGAAAACTTTATAAAATTTGTCAAATATTGAATGCTTTTTCTTTTCTTTCTCTTGGAACAAACATATCATTCATTTATTCATCAAACATCTATTGAGTGCCACAGTGCGCCATGTACTAGGCTCTGGAACTAGAAAAGTAAACTAGATAGTCTCCCCCTCTCGTCAGAGACCCACAGGGTCATCACTATTCTGTGTGATAGATCCCAGAATGATACAAATATTAGGTATCACTGGGGCACCAAGAGGGACACCTAAACCAAACTTGGAATTAAAATGACACGTAAGCTAAGCCTGGGCATACAATGGGTACTCACAGAAACGACCCTGTGTGAATAAAGCTAAAATGGGAGTAATAATTAGTGAGGTGAAATGGCATAACGTGACACCGACAAAATTTTTGGAGAGGTTGGAGCACACAGTTTGAGAGAGAAGAGCAATAATACCGAAAAGTTAGGCAAGGGTCAAGTCAGGGAGGGTCTTTAGGGCCACATAAAGGAGTTCAGACTTTGTTTGAGGTCACCAGGAAGCCTCTGACAGCCTTTAAAAGGAGAATGATATGCTCACATTCAAGTTTCAGAAAAGTCAGGTGGGCTTGTAGATGAGGAAGAGATGAAGAAGACAACATTGAAAGCCAGGAGACCAGTCTGCCAGAGAGCTGCAAGCAATGGTGATGGCGGCCTGTGATAGAGTGGGGTGGGGGGTGGGGGGTGGAGACACAAGTAGCAAAATCCAGGAAGTATTTTGTTTAGGGGGTAGAACCATGAGGATATGTTACATGGTAATATTCAAACATCTAGAAAACACAGGAATAAAAGAATATTTTTGGTAGAGGGAAGTGATGGTTCCAATCTTGGATGTTGAGTTTGAGGTGCTAGGAGGCAGTTCAGAGACTGGTTGGGCTGGAGACATAAATTGGGGTATTATCAGCCTGGATATGGTAGTGGAAGCCTTGAGAGTATATTTATTGAGTACTGGTTATATAGTGAGTCCCTGATTTTGAGAATAATGTGTTGGACACTGGAAATACAATGCTGCATAAAACAGAATGAGTCCCAGGAGAGAAATCATCAGGAAAAGCAATATATAAAGGTCAGGCAAAAAGGAGAAGTCCATAAAAGAGTTTAAGAAAAAATTGCCAGAAAGAAAAACCAAAAGAGTAAGGTGTTGCTGAAGTTAAAAGAAGAGAATTTTCTAGAAGGAGGATGTCAACAATGCTTAATGCTTCCAAGAAGTTAAGTAAGATAAGAACTGGAAAGTGCACACTGGCTTTAGCAAGAAGGATGACATGTTTTCCAAGCAAGAACACTCTTCGTAGAATGGTGGGGAAAGCTTGATTGGTGTGGATCGAGGAGGGAACAGGAGGTGAGGAAATGGAGACAGAGCACAGACAACCCTTTCAATAAATCTTACTGTAAAAGAAGGAGAGATGATAAAATCTGGAGACGAACAGAAATGGGGCCATGGAGAGGTGTCTCCCTGACTCTTCCTATTCTCACAAGATGGGGTGGGGAGGGACATGTTGACTGATGAGAAGCAACTATTAGAGAGGGGTATATCCAAGATACAGGCGAAAGGGAAATAATCAAGAGAAGGATCTCTGAGAGGCAGGATGGGCTGGGACTCCAAGCACACAATGAAGAATTCGCCTGTCCCATTCTTTGCACATATGACTTTGGTAGGCAGGTGGCTGAACCGACTTCTATTTACTGTGAGGAAGGAGCCAAGACAGTCTGCTGAGAGTGGGTGGTGAGGACGGAGGTGTGAGAAGAATGGAGATTAGATCAGCTTCTGCTGAGAACAGGGACTGCTGAGCGGGAAAACAGAAAGAACTGCTGAGCAGGGCAGAGCTCGCTCTGTTCAGGTTGGAGATGATGGGCACTTCATCAAAAAAGGTGGAGATGATGGGCACTTCAGCAAAAAAGGAATGCTGCCTTAGGTGGTTAGCCTTAGGACTAAAAAAAAAAAAGAAGAAGAAGAAGAAAGCTACCAGGTAAAGCAATGAAGATGATAGGGATTTTGATATAATGACAGCCAATGTTCTGTGGTTACAGAATCAGTCAGAGGAGGGCAGAAGAAGACCATGGGCTTCGACCTCCCAGGGAAGATGCTAATGAGGGAGGGAAGAGGAAATCCACCATCTAGCCGCCTGGTGCTTTTCTCTTTGTTATTGCTTGACGTCAATAAAGAATAGCTTCTAATGAGGCCTCCCAAAGCCTGTGCCAGGCGCCGGGGCTCAGCATTGTAGCACACTGTGGTTTTGCTGCTTCATCATTCAATACTTGTTATGATCATTTCAAACTGGGAAAATTGACAGGTGGAGAAATAAGGATGTTGTCAAATCTTGCTAACAATGAATTTAAGTTATTCGACTCATAGTTTCTTCAGATGAAATGACAGCTTTACTTGCAATGACGATTTTCTTTTTCTTTTAAGAATGTTTTGGGTTGTGGGGGTGTGGCCTGCATTTCCTTAGGGGGACTTCATCTTTCGGGGAAGATGCTGATTATTTCCGAGTTTTCCAATCTGGAGCACATACCACACGAGATGTGTGAGATAATCTATCGTATCTCCAACATTATTTGTGTTCCTTTTTGCCTAGACACGTTTAGCAAGCTTACTCTTATTTAACATATGAGTCGACACTGGTGCCCACCCATGGGCAGTTATGTGCTCTGGAGGGAGAGTGGGGATTTTAGAACCTAAGAAGCTGACATGGCCCTCACAAATGTCTTCACTTTCAGTGTCCTGGGACATGTGGCCATTCGCATGTGTCTGGGGCACGGGGATTTACAGATATTTCTTCTAGCTTTAATTAGGTTACACACACAAAATTAACAAATTTTGTTCGTCTCAAAAAGATTTCTGCTGAGATGCAGATTGACATTAGTACTGCCAATGTAAGCACAAGAAAGCCACAAGAAACCGTCAGAGCTGATGCCTTCTCCTGCTCCTGGTTATGAGTACATCATCACCCACAGGAAAGGCGAAAACTGGGATGATCTGGTGAAATCTGAAAAGAAGTTAACCAGAAAGTTTAAGATGATCAAGAGGACTATTAGAAATATGAATTCACAGGCGCCTGGGTGGCTCAGATGGTTAAGCGTCTGCCTTCGGCTCAGGTCATGATCTCAGGGTCCTGGGATCGAGTCCTGCATCGGGCTCCCTGCTCCTTGGGAGCCTGCTTCTCCCTCTGCCTTTCTCTCTTGCTCTGTCTCTCATGAATAAAAAAAAAAAAAAAAAAAAGAAATATGAATTCACATTTACTACGGTTAAGGCTGAACCTTGCTCAAGTGTAAATTTTGCCTGAAAATGTCACTCAGTGATCACATGAAGGCATCATGGTTAGCTAATCATTTAAAATATTATTTCATCTCTATCTCATCCCTCAAACACTTTTTTATGTTTTATAATGTTCATAGCATATTAGTATAATATATAAAGTGCTGCATATGGTATACAATATTGGTAAAGTACATGACATAATTCATTATAGATGTACATATATTTTTTACTTACTTGTGCTGAGAGGTATGTAATAGGGTCCCTATGGAAAAATTTGGACACCCCTGGTCTAATGTTTCATCTGTCAATAATACCTTTTAAAAATATATGTGGACCAGGAATGATTTAGAATCCCTCTCGTGCTCTGCCACATGACAACTCTGCAGAGACCCCCACACAGAGCAGGGAGTTAGCCAGTTCTCTTGTGTTCATAGCTCAGAGTAGGAAATCCATCCTTCTCCAAGCCACATGCATGTAGCCGGCCATGACAGTTTACCTTCTGCTTCTCCTTCTTAGTCACAGTTTGCCTGGAGCTTTCTACAAGATGGGAAAGTGCCTCATGCTTCTTGGTACTAATCATTAATTTCTTCTTGGCCTAGAGTCAAAAACATACAAAAAAGCAAAAATGAATGAGAATCAGATAGCAAGAGAAAAATTCTTCTGTTCTGGAACAAGTTATGTTCATGTGCTAGCTTAAATGATTGTGCAATTTTAGTTCTTCTTTTCTGCCCTCACCACAAAATCTGCCTAGAATATCACAGTGGCTAACATTTTGCCCTGAAACCACTGTATATTTTTTCATTATATTGAGTACATTCAAGAGGGTTATACATTTTTCCAAATCACAAAGGCCCGCAAGCCTCCAAAACATTGTTCTAGCGAGCAACATGACGGGAATGGTTTTACCACAAAATCATCACAGCAGACATGGAAGACCACCTGCATCATTCTTTTAAATCAACCCAGGCCACAACTGAGGTCATTTTAAGATGCTCTCTTAAAACTTACAGCAAAGGGGCAATTTTGCACCTGATGCAAAGGCTTCGGAGGTGGGCATTTGCCTGGCATCTTGTGAAATGGCCTGTACTGGCGGTGAGGAGCGGGGCGTTGGGAAGGAAGAAGTACGTTCAAATCCTCCTACTCTGTTGATGCCTCAAACCACAAAGTGGATTATGACCCAGGTGATCATTTCCTATTCTACACGGTTTCAACTTGGCAGAAGATGATGTTCCAGATGATGTTCCATTCCATAAAATGAGAAAACAGAACTTGGTTTGAGTTGGATCCAGTCTGTTCAGGAACTGGATTGATTGACAGACTGTTTAGTTTTGCACTCAGTGTCATAAGGACTGCAAAACCGGGTAATGAAGGGAAAAGTTCAGTTCCCTCTCTCTTTAGGAATCAGAGGCAAAGCCTTCCGAATGTCCCTCAACCTACGAAGCTTCTGCAAAAGGGAATTCAAGGAACAGGAAGCCCACTGACCCTCTTTCTCTGCCTCTAGTCAGTCACAAGCCCATGGAGAAATGAGAGCATGAGGGAAGAACTTTGGGTCCTTTAAAAGGCTTCCATTTCTGTCTCCCAAATAGACTGCACTTCATTACTGACATGCTGAAAACTTCAATTGTAACTGGAGAGAAAATTATTAGAGCTCAGGAATTTTATGTTCTCTAACTTCTATGTCACTCTTCATAAAAAAAGAAAATCATTTTATTAAGAAAAACTACTTGGTGGAAACTGGGAAAGAATAAAAGATGCTTTTTTTGTTCTTGAAAGCAATTATACATGCCTAGCACGGTTTCTCTCTTTTGGTCCGTTATATTGAATTTCCTGTGAAGGCTGAATATTTAGAGAATGGATTATAAAAAACAAATTCTGTTTGGGGTGTCTGGGTGGCTCAGTCGTTTAAGCATCTGATTCTTGATCTCAGCTCAGGTCTTGATCTCAGAGTTGTGAGTTCAAGCCCCACGTTGGGCTCCACACTGGATGTGGAACCAACTTAAAAACAAACAAACAAACAAATTCTGTTTAAGACAGCTCATAAAACCAAGAACAAAGGTAAAACCAATGACTGGACACTGATTATGAGACTTTTAAACATTTATGATAAAAGTGATTCTCATGAGCATTCTTTTACCAGTAACTACTATTGCAGGTATAGAAATTCATTTATCTCCAACATTTCTTATTAATGCCTTTGGTCTGATGGAGTCCTTGATTTCAGCAGGAGCTTCAAAGGCAACAATGCGGACTGAGTTGGGACTGCCTATTTTTGAGGGATCTCTCTGGTTATTTGCCACTAGCCGCTGTCTCCTGGGAAAAGTTCTCTTTGGGTACTGATACTCTGGAGAGGAAAAGGAAGTTCAGCCTTTGGAACACAAGTTCTCTCAAAGGGGATCACTGGGTTTTCTTCACAGATTCCCTCTCCACTGGTTCGTAGTTCTTCCAACTTGAATTCCCCCTAAGCTGGATTGTTCTAGAATTATCTTCTCTACATATATATGGGTTCCATCTGTTATTCTCTCTGCGTAAGAACCTATAATGATATGCTCTAAATTCTCACACCAGATCATAATTCCTCTCCTTGGAATTCATTTACTGTTTCCTGCACATATGTTAGCTGGCCAACTACATTTTAAATTACTCGCAAAAAGGAACCATGTCCTTGTACAGAGTGGAGTACAGGAAGTGGACCACACATATTTGTGGACTCAGTATATGTCTTCCCCTTTACACATGGCTCCTCACCCCGCACGGCACTCCTCTCACTAGTGAGACAGAGATCACGAATGCCCTTCTACAAATCATAAATCCAAAACTCGGACAGTATTTGTCACTTGCCCTAAGCTACAGATTACACAGAGAGGCAGTCAGTGTAGTGGAATGGGTAAGAGCAATGACTTATAACAGTTCTTGGTTCAACACAACCAGCCTTAGGCAAATTATTTACCTCTCTGTGTCTCAGTTTCCCCCACCCATCTGTCAAATGGGACATACCATATTGGTTTGCTTTTTTTGGGGTGGGGGGTTGTTGTAATGATTCAATATATAAATACAGAGCATTTGCCACACAATAAATGCTATGGCTGTTAGCTATAAATAATAACCATATTCCAAGCCCTGCTCTTCTAGTGGTTTAGTTGAAAGATAGATCTATACAATAATTCAGGGAGGAAACATTTTTCTCTTCAGTTAGCGCTTAGATATATTAACACTAAAACACAGGATCACATTCGTGCAAAAGCAAAAAGGCTCAGACCGAAAAACTGAGTTTACATAAATGACATTCATATGTATACTTGCCTTGATTTGTTGATTCCAGTTGCCAATGACAAGATTTGCTGCCTTTTCAACTTCGTTATCAAGCTAGGAACAGAAAAAAAGAGACATGATTTTTTTTTTTTTTTTTTCTGTCTTTCTGTTGAGTCATGGTGCTGGCTTATGAATTCTGGCAGTCACTATCACAATCCATAGGAATTTCAAAATGCTACAGTGGACATAGATATGCTGAGAAAAGTAGCCAAACTATCTTTTCCCCATGTCAAAACCTCTTGACAGACGTTAGCTTGAATGCATTTGGTAAAATAACTATTTTTGTGTAAACTATGTAACTATACAAGAACTTGCAACAAGAACATCAGTGTGTGTGACCTGCGTGGAGGGGCTCTTGCATAGTTTGGTGTCCCTTTTGGTCCCAGCACTTCCTCAGCATCATTCCCTGCTGCCTAATCTTTAGCACCATGACAAAGCCTGAGAGTCCTGGAAGTGCTAATTTTACTAAGTGTCTCATTGCCCCTGAAGTGAATGAATACTGTTACAATTTCAAAGAGATTGAATTCTTTATCATAATTAACTTTTCTCCTACTTTTAAACAGCCAAAGGTACAGTAAAATAATGATAAAAATGCATCTAGACAACCCTCCAAGGAGATCAGACTTAAGTGAGGGCAAAACTTTTTTTCCTGGACCATAGACAGATCAGCTATCACTCGGCCACATTGAGATCTAGCAACGCTGCCCTTTTATTTTGTCCAGCTGACTGAATTTGGAATATACGATTTATTGTAACAAATACAATGAAAATAGTTTTGTGCACTATGTCACTTTTGACTCTATGTGTAATGTGGAACAAGTTCACTTTAAAAATAATTTTCATCTCTTTTTTTTTTTTAAGTAGGCTCCACACCCAATGTGGGGCTTGAACTCATGACCGTGAGATCAAGAGTCGCATGCTCTACCGACTGAGCCAGGCAGGCGCCCTAAAAAAGTCCTCATCTTTTATCTTCTGTGAGAGAGTGGGCCGGGGTGGTGGGGGTGCAGCACGGAGGGGCAATGCTGAAATAAAGGCTTTAAAACTGGACCAGCAGTTTGAGGGATCATGCTGTTAATTATCCAAAGCACTATGATAATGATCATGTCACTGTGCCTAATTTATGGTAAATACTCAGGAAATGCTAGTGATTATCATATTATTATGGGGTATAAAACATATTTTGGAACTAATGAAATATAGACTGGTGTTCAGTTTTGATTAAGTTGGTTGGCACAGGTGGAAGATTGTATTGCTTAGTAATAATTACTGCATAAATTTCCCCCATTACCCCAGCCCTCAGTAGAACATCCATTCTGGTAAAAATACACATATGTCCACACAAACATCAATTCCATTTCCTGACTCAGCTTAATGAATTTGAATAAAAATGTTTTTGTATCATTTCTCTTCCATCATGGTTTATATAGATGCCTCATCTTCCTCACTTACTACCTTTAAGACCTCCTTTATCTGGCTGTGGTCACTTGAAACTGCGCCTAGCCACTGCCCCTTCCCTCCACAAGGGCCACCGATGACTGCTTCTGAACTTCTAACCTGCACCTGGCCTTGCACCAACTGTAACCATGACCTCACCCCATCAGAGTTGAGCAGCGTTTATATTAAACACCTCTCTATGACACCTGAAAATAGATTTTAAAGTGCTTACTGACTGTATGACACACAAAGAAAAAGAAAAAGAAGCACAGATGAAATTGTTCTGGAAGGAAACGGACACAGGAAGACCAGAGAATATGCTAGACAAGAGGACTAGGTGCTCCTGAAAGAATTGTTTAGTTTTGTTTTTCCCTTTTTCCAATTTTAAGACTATTTGAGGACTATACCTTATTATTGCCTTTACCTAATCCCAAACCGTTAAGCACCAAAAAACATGTCTTTTTAAAAATTGTGTTTATAATTCTTCTGTTTACAGAGGAATATCTATTCATTGGAAAACAATGGAAATACAAAAAGTACCAAAAGATGAGATAAAAATAACCTTGAATTCCACTGACTAGAAATGATTCTTTTTTTAAAAAAGATTTTATTTATTTATTTGATAGAGAGAGATACAGCGAGAGAGGAGAGAGGGAACACAAGCAGGGGGAGTGGGGGAGGGAGAAGCAGGTTTCTCGCTGAGCAGGGAGCCCGATGCGGGGCTCGATCCCAGGACCCTGGGATCATGACCTGAGCCGACACAGGTGCTTAACGACTGAACCACCCAGGCACCCCTAGAAATAATTCTTATTAACATTCTCAGGAGGTTCCTTCAGATTTTTTTCTATTCGTATATACATATATTTATTTTACAAAATTGAAATCATTTTCATTTAACACTATATATAGTGAAAAAATTTCCATGTCAATAAATTCTTCTGTAATAAGATTTTAATGGTTGCATAATATTCCATTGTTTGGATTTATCATGATTTATTTTTGAATAATGAAGAGGTTTCTAGTTTTTCACTATTATAAACAATGCTTTAACAAATACCTTTGTACATAAATCTTGAGCTCATGTTTCTTTTTATGACAAATCCCTGAAAGCTAGCATCACTTTTGATCACCTTTCATTCCTTGGGTCAAAGACAGAAATCTTGCTTTAAGATAGATTTGACTCACTGATTTTCTCTTCTTTTCATGTACACTCAGGACTTGATGAGTTGGTTTTATTGCTTCCAACTCAATTGCTTTGCCAAGTTTTCTGGAAAGAGAACATAAAAGACACACAAGCATAGTATTAGGATTTATATCTACTTTCCAAATTATTTTCTGGGTAAATAAAACCGTGTGTTCCAGCCTGTCTATTCAGGGCAAGTTTGAAGCAGAGTATTTGTAGCACGCCCACTTTAAATATTTAAATATTTATGCCTCCCCCTGGGGTTGGGGTAAGCCCTGGGGGTGGGGTGGGGTAGAGAAGTGGGGAGCTGGGAGGGGGACACTCACTGATGCAGGTCTGCTGCAGATTTCATGCCCTCTGAGACCCAGGCCCAGGCACTAACGAGACAGCTGGAGGCAAAAACAGGAGGGCACAAGAGTGGGTGTCATTTTCCCAGGAAAGTCTGAGCAATGCAGCATCATGTCTGATTCACTACACACAGCAATTGCCCTCATTTCCCTAATCTTATTTCAATGTGTCCACGGGATTCAATTCTGCCAATTTATTGATTTGCACTGTAGTCATTACATATACAGCCTTTTTGCCATCATTTTTCTTTTCAATTTTCAATTTTCATTTTCCATTTCATATCTGTAGAAAACCAGGGAAATAAAGCAGCCAAGGGTGAGCAGGCATTTAGAACAAGCAGAAGATCGTGTGCTAGGTAGGGGGAGAGGAGCCTAATGACCATCTTCTCAGGCTCCTCATTTCACCAGTGAGTACACCAAGCTAGGCTCAGAAAAGTTAAGTGGTGGAGGACCCAAGAGCCCTGGGATGTCCTCACGTGCTGCTCTTGGGGTTGGGGTCCAGTTACTCTTCCCTGCTGGCTTTTAGGACCACAGCTCAGATATTCTGTTTGCTTGTAAGCAGTGTCTCCATTTAACAAAAGGAGAGCACCTCCCTCTCTCTAAAGGCACCTCTCTAAGGGTGGGGGTAGGAAGTGTGATGCTATTTTCTCCCACAGAAGGGGCATAGCTCACAGCAGCCCATAACGCTGGCCTTCAGAAGCCAGAAGGATAAGATCAATTGCATCAGTAAACCTGTGTAGACTTTGGTGGAGGGGCGGGGACAGATCTGTGTCCCTACTGAAATCAGGATGGTGCAGAGGTTTTGCCTCCAAGTGACTTAGGTTGCATCCTGCAGTCAGAGAATTGGAGAGCTAGACCAGAGGATGCCAGAATCTCTGCGTATCCGAAGCCAGGCACAAAGCCAGAGGCCAGAGACTACTTAGTATAGACCTCCAGTTATAGGAAATTGCAAAAAGCACAACATGAATCTGTATCGATAGGAAGTAAATCAGTGGTCGTTTAGGTGGGAAAGGATTGCAAACAGGCTTTAAGAATCTTTTGACGTGATTAAAATGTCTATGTTTTTATTTTGGTGATGTCTATATAGTGCATACATCTATCAGAATTGACCAAACCATACACTTCAGAAGGGTGCTTGTTGTTGCATGTAAATTAAACTTCAATAGAGTTGATTTTTAAAAAAGGAACCCAGGCACCCTTTGGGGAAGAGAATCTGACATCTGCTTCTCAGAGGAGCTGAACAGCAGAGCAGGAAGCCTAGAACTTTGGCCTCAGAGGGGTCTGTGTCTCTGTTTCTTGTGTGACCTTGGAAAGATCACTTGATTTCTCTGACCCTCACGTAATTGGTCTTTTAAAATAGAAATAATTCAGGTTACATATACAACACAGGTTTTGGGTACAGATAAAAGTCCAATTAATGTTTATTATTAAATATTATTGTACTAATCCTGGTTAACCAAACATTCCGGACATGTCAACTCTTTGGGAGCCTCCATGCTGGATGCTAGGACTGCAACAAAATAAGACCCACACTTTTCATTCTTTAGGAGGTAATCAGAATCAAAGTCATAATGAACTCCATGCCAGGTATTAAACACACTTCTTGTATTATCTCATTTAATCTTCACAGCAATTATATGAGGTAGGTTCTATTTCCATTTTAAATTCCAATGTATACACAAGGAAGAGATGATTTGTTTACTCTAAGGATCCTTTTGTCCTTTAAATACTGAGAGGTAAAATAAATTGCCCTAATTCACCCACTTGATAAGAGGTAGAGGTAGAATTTAAATCTGGGCAGTGTCAATAAAGTCTATACTCAACCATTCAGCCATACTGGCTGCTTCTCAGTCTAATAAAATACTATCCTAAAAATAAAGCTCAAAGTCAAACAATTTCAAAGCCATTATTTGCTGTTACAGAGGATCCCTAGGAAAGAGTAAGAATGTGAGTTCCAGAAGGCTTCTTTTTCTTTCCCTCTCTCTTTCACCATCAAAAGAGGTCTTTGCCAAGGCACTGCCAGCTAGGGGTGACATCTGCAAGCGCTGGGCAAGAATCTTTGTAACCAATTATCATTAATCGACCATTTTTAGACTCTCTTTTAGAATATCTAGTATCTTTCTTCTCTTCCCCAAAAGAAAAAATTGACTTCATTCCGAAATGTATTAAGGAAAATGTGAACCACCAGTTTTTCAGGACCCAACGTGCTAATCTCCATGTACAAGATCTCATATAATATATACCTCCCTCTCCCAGACCTGCACACATATGCACCATGCAACACATAGCACTACTCCATCTAACATATGGAGGAAATCAAGGCCCAGAGAGGCCAGGTTACTTGTCGGAGGTCATGGAGTTGAGATAAGCCGGGATTCACACTTCTTGACTCCAAGACCTTCCAACTTAATGGCACTGCTTCCAAAGTAACCTATCATCACTGAGGCTTATTATGAATATGGGCTTAGGAGTCATAAGGACCCCGGATTAGCCCAGTTCTGCCACTTACTATCTGTGTCACTGGGGCAAGTTTCTTAAAACTCCAAGCCTCAAGACCTGGTCTGTAACAGGGACAATAATAAGACTTGCAAAGGGTTGTTGAGAGGATTAAAGGAGAGTATCTATAAAAGCACTTAACACCATGCCTGGAACACAGTAAGCGCCCAAGCCAGGCTTAACACTGCGTACCTGCCACATTTATAAGAGGAAGCTAGAATCGAACATATGTCACTTTTTTTTAATGTTTTATTTATTTATTCATGAGAGTCAGAGAGAGACAGAGAGAGAGGCAGAGGCAGAGGCAGAGGGAGAAGCAGGCTCCCCGCCTTGCAGGGAGCCCGATGCGGGACTCGATCCCAGGACCCTAGGATCGTGACCTGAGCCGAAGGCAGACACTCAACCATCTGAGCCACCCAGGCACCCCCATATGTCACTTTTTATAACTCTTAAGAATTATTTTGCCTTACCTGTTTCATATACTTACTTTTTTTTTGTGCTCTGCAAAGCTTTGCTTAACTTGATTGCCAGTTTCTGAAGTCCTTTGGCATAGTTAATCTCCAAGTTTGCCCTGTTAGCAAAGGGATAGTTGGTAGATAGGATGTTCTGGCCAGACATCAAACACACACACACATACACACACATGTGAAGGAGGGCTCAGCCCGACAATGCAATGTATACACAAGGAAGAGATGATTTGTTTACTCTAAGGATCCTTTTGTCAATAGGTGAAATCCTTAAGGACCTCCAAGAAGATCCTACAAAGGGAGAGTTTTTAATTTAACCTTCTTGTATACCAGTGTTTGAATTGTATGCCCTTCCCACCCCGCAAAGATGTTAAAACACTAACTCCCAGAGCCTGTGAATGTGGCCTTATTTGGAAATAGGGACTTTGCAGATGATCAAGCTAAGATGAGGTCATCAGGGTGGGCCCAGGTCCAATATGGCCATGTCCTTATAAAGAGAGGAAATTTGGACATAGAGACAAACACACACACACACACACACACACAGGAAGAATGCCATGTGGAGATGAAGACAAGAGATTGGGGTGCTGCATCTACAAGCCAAGGAGTCCCAAAGACCGGCAGTCAACCACCAGAGGTGAGAGAACAGTGTGGACCAGATTTCTCCTCACAGCCCTCAGATGGAACCGACCTGGCTGACACCTGATCTCAGACATCCAGCCTCCAGAACTATGAGACAATACATCCTTGTTATTTAAGACACCCAATCTGTGGAAACTTGTTATGGCAGACCTAGCAAACCAATTCATGGAGTAAGGAATGGAAGACTTTCCTGCTTACTCTGGGACATTAGCACCATCAGATTAGCTCTAGATTATAATAGCTGGCAATAAAGTGATAAATTATGATGAAGTTAACCAAGAAGCTTTTTTTGTTTTGTTTTGTTGCTCACTGCCCTTGATCAAGTCTTTATTCAAAATTAGCTGTCCGAGAAGAATGAAATTGGACCATTTCCTTACACCACACACAAAAATAGACTCAAAGTGGATGAAAGACCTCCATGTGAGACAGGAATCCATCAAAATCCTTGAGAACACAGGCAGCAACCTCTTTGACCTCAGCGGCAGCAACTTCTTCCTAGACACATCGCCAAAGGCAAGGGAAGCAAGGGCAAAAATGAACTATTGGGACTTCATCAAGATAAAAAGCTTTTGCACAGCAAAGGAAACAGTCAACAAAAACAAAAGACAACTGACAGAATGGGAGAAGATATTTGCAAATGACATATCAGATAAAGGGCTAGTATCTGAAATCTATAAAGAACTTATCAAACTCAACACCCAAAGAACAAATAATCCAATCAAGAAATGGGCAGAAGACATGAACAGACATTTCTGCAAAGAAGACATACAAATGGCCAACAGACACATGAAAAAGTTTTCAACATCACTTGGCATCAGGGAAATCCAAATCAAAACCTCAGTGATACCACCTCACACCAGTCAGAATGGCTAAAATGAACAAGTCAGGAAACGACAGATGTTGGTGAGGATGTGGAGAAAGGGGAACCCTCCTACACTGTTGGTGGGAATGCAAGCTGGTGCAGCCACTTTGGAAAACAGTGTGGAGGTTCCTCAAAAAGTTGAAAATAGAGCTACCCTACGACCCAGGAATTGCACTCCTGAGTATTTACCCCAAAGATACAAATGTAGGGATCCAAAGGGGTACATGCACCCCAATGTTTATAGCAGCAATGTTCACAATAGCCAAACTATGGAAAGAGCCAAGATGTCCATCAACAGATGAATTGATAAAGAAGATGTGGCATATATGTATATATATATATATATATATATATATATATATATATACACAATGGAATATTATGCGGCCATCAAAAAATTGAAACCTTGCCATTTGCAACAACGTGGATGGAACTAGAGGGTATTATGCTAAGTGAAATAAGTCAATCAGAGAAAGACAAGTATCATATGATCTCACTGATATGAGGAATTTGAGAAACAAGACAGAGGATCATGGGGGAAGGGAGGAAAAAATGAAACAAGATGAAACCAGAGAGGGAGACAAACCATAAGAGACTCTTAATTTCAGGAAACAAACTGAGGGTTGCTGAAGTGGTGGGGGGTGAGAGGGATGGGGTGGCTGGGTGCTGGACGTTGGGGAGGGTACGTGCTATGGTGAGCACTGTGAAGTGTGCAAGACTGTTGAATCACAGAGCTGTACCCCTGAAACAAATAATATGTTATATGTTAAAAAAAAAAAAAAGAAGAAGATAGTAGGAAGGGAAAAATGAAGGGGGCAAATCGGAGGGGGAGATGAACCATGAGAGACTATGGACTCTGAGAAACAAACTGAGGGTTTTAGAGGGGAGGGGGGTGGGGGGGATGGGTGATGGGTATTAAGGAGGGCACGTATTGCATGGAGCACTGGGTGTTATATGCAAACAACGAATCATGGAACACTACATCAAAAACTAATGATGTAATGTATGGTGACTAACATAACATAATAAAATAAAATTTAAAAATTAGCTCTCCGAGGAGTGCCTGGGTGGCTCAGTCGGTTAAGCATCTGCCTTCGGCTCAGGTCATGATCCCAGGGTCCTGGGATCAAGTCCCATGTCTGCTTCCCTGCTCAGCAGGGAGTCTGCTTCTCCCTCTCCCTCTGCCCCTCTCCCCCGCTCATCCTCCCTCTCTCTCTGTCAAATAAATAAATAAAATCTTAAAAATAATTAGCTGTCTGAAATGACTCAACATTTACAGAAGAAACCAATGTAAGGGGACGCCTGGGTGGCTCAGTCGTTAAGCGTCTGCCTTCGGCTCAGGTCATGATCCCGGGATCTTGGGATCGAGCCCCGCATCGGGCTCCCTGCTGGGAGAGAAGCTTGCTTCTCCCTCTCCCACTCCCCCTGCTTGGGTTCCCTCCCTGGCTGTGTCTCTCTTTGTCAAATAAATAAATAAAATCTTAAAAAAAAAAAAGAAAGAAAGAAACCAATGTAGGTTTATGCAGTGAGCTTCTTGTCCTCGTGGTGGGTTTCTTTTCTGTAGGCTTCTCATCTGCTGCTTTCTTGGTGGCTGCAACCTTTTTCCCCGCCAAAAGCTTCTTCTGCTCCTTACCAGCAACAGCCTTCTTTCCTTTCTTCCCTACCACAGGCTGCTTGCCCAGAACCCCCTTCTCATTTGACTTGGCTTCTAGCGCTGCTTATCCATCCGGAGTTTGTGACGCCTGGCCCAGTGGAGAATGGTGTTCGGGCACGTGGTCTTTGCATATGGGTTTAGCTTCAACAGGATTCTCAGGTTCTTCAGTGGATTCTTTTGCAGATCTCTGCGATGAATCTTCTTGCGGGGTGCTCGGAGGGCTCTTTGGATCTCTGGGCTTTTCAAGGTTCGGCTAAGGTGTGTATCAAGCGTCTTGTGTATGGGAAGATTATAGTTACCTTTGAGGGAGGCAACCTTACACCAAGTGCCACACAGATCATGTAACTTGAGGAAAGCACTTTCAGTCCAAATGTGGAAACATCCCACATGCCCACCGGCAGTAAGTTCCAAAATGTTCAGTTGGCTTACATTGAGTAGAGCAATTCCAGGGATGTTTCTGAAGGCCTCGGTGACACCGCTGTCCTCATTAGAGATGATGTTGGATATGGTGATGGTTTCTCATTTCGCCATTTCCAGCTCTCATTTGTTGAGATACATAGACTTTTTTGATATCATTCCAGGACTTAAGTTTCTGAAGAAGCAAAACAGCTTCCTTGGTCTTCTTGTAGCCTTTGCCTTTATTTTCAGCCACCAGAGGGAGTTTAGGAACTTCCTCAGTACAGTGACCATTAGCCATGAGCAGCTCTGGTAGGGCCGAGGCACCCACGCAGAGCAGATGGCATATTGCTTCTGGGTTTGTTCACTTTACGGTGCCCAGGGCACTAGGCTTTGGATGGTGCAAACATGAAGATCCTGTGACACATATTTCCAAAAGCACCGTGGCTGCAATGATGAGTCCCACTGCCTCAAACTCTGGGCACCCAAGCCACAGCTCTGCCGGTACCCCCAAGACTCAGCCCTTGTTTGAGGACCTGCTAATTCACTAACAGCGTAGGGCTGTCTGTCATTTTGGTGTAAGTTGGTGTGAACAAAGTTCATGGTATCTGGTCGAATGGGATCCTTGACCACAGCAGGCAAAGTGACATTTTTGCCAGATGACTCCCCCTTTTCAGAATACATTCATGCCAGTGGACAAGCATGTATCACGGCAGGGAGGGCAGAGCGAGAGGAGACGCGCTCTGCTCAACCCAGCGACTCCTACACGAAAAGCAAGAAGTGGCTTCCTAATGGAAAAGTGCAGAAGTGGACAAAACCAGATTTAGAAAATGAATTTCTGTTACTTTGTATGCAGGACAAGACTCAGTAGGAAATCTGGGCATGCCTCCAAAAGCAAACTCCTTGGTTCTTTTGAATAGATTGAATCACTGTTATCTTAAACTGATTTTACCGTGTCCTACTTATAGGCCCATCTATAGATAAAATGAAGACATACTCTTATTCATCTTCTCACTTTCACTGAAGATAATACAAATGTAGGAAAGTAAGTTCAATTTGTATTGTTTTCCTCCTTAATTTGGACCAAAATGGGTTTGTTTATTTTGTTGTTGTTGCATAGATTTTAGCCTTTGAATTCTATTTTTATTATAACATATCTTTAGAATTATTTATGACCTCACTTCACTTGGAAAAACAATCCCAGAACTCCCTAGTAACTAACTTAATACCTGCATTTTTTCAGCACAGTGAAATTAGACTCAGTGCTATGGACCGAACAGAGAAAGATAGCTCTGTTTTATAAAATGGAATCCAGAGATCATGGACTATTGACCGATTGCTAAGTTTCTATTCAGCTTTCCCTGTTAGTACAGTGGTGCTCTGTTATTTTTACCACTTTTTGAAGGAAAGAAGGCCACTGTAGAATGCACGTTAAGGCCTAGTTGCAGAAAACAACATTTGGAATCAGAACTTGCCCAAGAATAAAGAATGGCAATGGCAAATATTTTAAAAAATTGAAGCTGATAAATATCTCATTGCATTTAAAAATA